TGTTTTTTGGTGGACGACATCTTAATAGTACTATGACAATATACGCTCTCAGAAAAAAAAATAAATAAGCAATCAGTAAATTATTTCTATTAATGATAAAAACAAAAATTAGTAAACGAAGAAAAATATCTAATTTGGAGCTTAATGGGTATTTTTTATGAGAAAAATTGAACAGGAGTTACCTAAATCTCTATCCTACATTAATCAAAAAGTAAATATTATAAATTAAACGCTTTTCTATTTGGTTTCTTATCCACGACAATCACCTTTATAAGCAAGAGCATGTATTAGTTAAAAAGTAAATGTATTGCACCATGCACAGGTAACATAAGCTATTAATATCGTGAAAGTCACTCACCAGGATTGGAGATTTCACAAGGCAAAACGACCGTGTCCTTTTCCTTTACCCTATACACCTGGCTCGACGTTAGAAATCTAGGAAGATCGGCGGGGTTTACTTTTATCTGCATTGCTTCCCAAGAACCTGGAATCAAAATGACAAATATATTCAAATGTCACCTGTTTGCTAATACCTAGAGCAAACACAAGAACAAAATTAGTTTTGCCGGACCTCCTTTAGAAAAGGGGTAAATTATACATATAAAATCTTAAACAGTTCCAGATTTTTATTTCATCATCATTTTATTAAGTTACTATATCTTACTTATCTAACAATGTCATGAATTTAGAAGTTCAAAATTGATATCACCACCTGCCAAATCACCACTTATCCTACCAGCCCGCAAAACAATATCGAATTATTTGTTGCTGAACTGAAGAAACTATAACATAAAGATAGAAAAACTATCACAATCACTTCAAGTAAGAAAATATGACTCATATATATATAATATATTCGATCAACATCGTGCTTTTAATGATAAGCCTTTTGCTGTAATATATGGTGGTTGCGCTTGGCATAGGAGACTTTTAACAGATTAGGTAATTAAATGTGATTTATTTGAAATACTTGTATTTAGTTAAAAAAGGGACAACGAGGCATTTCATGAATTCCTTCTAACTCTTTGATAGAGAGCCCAAAACCTCCTTAGAAATAGACAATCTAAAATATTAGATCGATATTGTTTTCCGGGTTCAATGTCATGGTCAATGGAATTTTGAAGTTCCAAACTGATATCAACACCTGCCAAATCACCACTTATCGTACTTTTAGCAAGAAACTACGAAATTCTATGAACTACGACAAAACAGCCCGCAAAACTGTCGAATTGAGATACGCTAGCTGTGTAAAACTGAAAACTACAAGATATTGTGGTGTGCTAATAAATGTATATATTAAAAAAATCTGAGAAAACAATTCGAAGAACTTCACTTTTTAGATGAACCCAAAGCTAAAGAAACCATGGATTCCATTTCTTTCTTTTATTACAATGTGTAAAAGATCGGAAAGAAAATGAGGTTGTAAATATTTTAATATAAAATGATTGATGTTGATTTTACATCAATAAAATTATTTGTTACCCTATTTTGGCTCTGATCTTTCACGCTAAACAAACTACTTTGGTATCTGGTGTCTTCTTTCCAATTAAAACGGTGACGAAAGCAAATAAGAAAGCATATAGAAGAATTATTTGTTGTTGAACTGAAGAAACTGTAACAAAAATAGAAAAACTATATCTCAATCACTTCAAACAGAAAAATCACAGCTAAGCCAAACACCACCATTAGTCTAGAAAAATTCCAGTATTTAAAAAATGAGCAAATGCCTTCAAGGTTTTTTTAAAACTTAAGTAAATGTAGAAAATTAAATAGGTAGAGAAGAAAGTATTTTGAAAATACGTATTTTGCATTTAGCATTTAAAATACAAAAAGGAAATTTTATCAGTACCCGAGCACAACTCTGGTTTCAAACTCATTTAGTAAACCTTCTCGTTCCACAGAAAAAGTTTCGGAATGGATACATGTATCCAAGGCAAGATAAGAATAATTTTTACAACGATAAAAGTACACGTTCAGTAAATAACAAGCATATTGTTCCTGCAAGACCTGAAAACGACGCTTTCCCGTACATGTACGCCAAGCAATATTATCGTAAGAAAAGACTTTTTGACAGACGGAGAAAAAGGACTCTTCCAAGACGAATAGAGAGCATATATCGCAGGAGAAATGAATGGGACGATAAACCCCATATTGACTATAACAAGTATCACAATACCCAATTTAGAAGAGACACTAACTACATTGGTGAAGAGAAACCACGTCGTATGAATGTTGACATTTTTCCAAGAAGTCAAGAGGGTGTGCTTAGAAAGCATGACTTTCCAGATGATGAACATGTTAAAAACGATAAACTGATACGTGTGAGTAAGAGTTGTGGTTGTAAAGGGCACAAAAACGGTCCCAAGTGTCAAACATCCAATTGCAAACATAAGACACACGTATCATGCCAGCCTGGATCCAAATGCAAGGAAAATCACAATGCCCACGACCTAATATACGAAGATTATTTAGCAGGACCGGATGTGGCCGATATTGATTTAGACGACGAATTAATAGAAGATTCGCTAGGTGATTTAGAAGTGAATACCGATAGAGAATACAGAAAAAGTAAAGACATATTTAAGTGGTTCAAACATAAAGATCAATCCAAAGTTCAAAACGAAGAAGGCTCAGTAAGTAATTCTGGGTTAGATTCGAATGAAGCAAAGATACAAACAAAAACTTCGAAAAGAGGAAAAGGTAGTGCTGCCTGTGATTTTGAAAAATGTAAAGGCGATTCGGTTAAGTGCGGATGCTCGTCCAAAAAAACGATGGGAAATTCTAAATCAGAATCTAGTTATGGGACATCAAAAGAAAAAATGACCCCTAAAAATCACAATAATGGTAACTATTTTAAACTTATGATAAGAATACGTTGTATTCCCAAATTATATTATAAAATGTAATTACAACTAAATTCCTTTCTAAATTCTATAAAAATTAAAATTTTTGATCGATTAAAAAAAATCAAATGTTCGAAGTAAACCAATAGCAATTTAATCGTTGCTAGTAATTAACATTGGTAACTTTTGTTTTTAATGACATCAAACATATATGCATGTTTTGAATTATATCTTTATAATTTGTTAAAATTAGTGTAGATATAGGGAAAGATATATTACAAATAACCAATCAAGAAGCAAACGTTTTNGATTACTGTTCGCAAATAGTTAAGGATGTGGGCTGTTCTAGTTTTAGGGAAATGCGAAGTTTAGCTCAGGATAGGAAAGAGTGGAGGTACGTGTCCAACCAGTCTTAGGACTGATGACCTTATGATGATGATGATGTCGGCGTTTTTGCCAGGAGGTCATAAATTAATGTTATGTATTCTGAAAGCTACATATGAAGATGGTTAAACAACTTCACTAAAGTGTATGTATGCAAAATATATTTATACTACAACTCCAAGATAGCCTCTACTTAACGCGAGAATCTCGCTGAAGAAGAGGTGAAGTGTCAGAAGGAAGGGAAAACAGAGACGTGATCATAGTGTACAGAACATTATTGTACTGTGTTGCATGATCTCTTTCTTACTCTCACTGTCAAAGACTCTTTTATACGAGGTGTAACAGAAATAAGCGCTGAACTTTGGAGGATGTAACCTAGACGCAATAAACAATCACACAGTAAACTCAGCGCGGTTAAGGTCAACAATTTTTTTTAAGAAAACCACAATCTGGAGCCGATCCTGTGCGTAAATTGGCAGCCAGGTGTCTACCGAATAGCGTAGTACGATAAAAATTGTGCAGCTACCTGAATAGAGAATGTAAACATTGCCGATTATTAAACGTCTAAGATAAACATAAATAATTTAAGTAAGTACAGTCCATTTCAATTCGTTTGAATTGTGACTTCGAAGAAATCTGCGCGAAGATAGAAAGACTACACACTAGGCGTGAGCAAGACAGAAATAGTTGGAACAAGCTTGAACGAGCAGAGCTCTCGATGGG